AATAGGTTGGCCTCCCCACTCAGCACCTTGCCTATCTTGATGTATGATACGAAGTTTTTTTTTCTCTCCGGCGAAGTACAGACTCCGGCGCAGCCCTGATTTTAAGTTCTGGTTTGGACCCCAGCCCGTACGCTTCAGGGCTCAGTTAGGTCGCTTTCCGGAAATTTCAGGGCTGTTTTCGGGGACCTCAGCCACCCAAATATTGGTCCCAAACCAATCTACAGCCCTGGTCTGGAGCTTGACGCAATAAAGCCCGAGTGCTGTCTTTACACCTTCGACTGGTTCAACCAGACAGAGCCGAGACCGAGACCCGCATTTAGGTCGTCCGGCCAGTCAGAAGAGCACAGGGTATCGTTTACTATAAGTCCTGAAAATGTGGAGTCTTTCGGGAAGAAAAGAAAGCATGGTGACGAGAAGATGCTTGCGTGGGACACCCTCACGCTAGACGAGAAGCATAATGCGAAAGCAGGGAAGGGACTGCTTGTGCATTTTTGCTCTTGTGCGCATCCTTCATGTGTGGGTGGGATGGTGAAATCTCTTGTGCGAGGGGGACGTGAGCTGGAAAATCTCGTCTGTTGGTTTGACTGTCGCCACCAAATGCCCCTGGCAATGGCATTTCCTGGAGATACTGTACAGGCCTGATGAGTAGGCGACTGTTGTAAGGGTTCTTCGCACAAGAACTAACCAACCACAGGCTGAGGCTTCGCTTCGTTCCTGCTGGTAACCAGGCTGCACGAATCTGCGTGCTGGACACGATTTTCGCTCCTCCCCAAACCCACCCCACAAAAGACCAGCTCACCGCACGCCAGGCCTTCAACGCATTTCTCATGAAACTGCCGAGCCTAGCTCGGTGAGCCCAACACAACTCCCCTCCCCGCCTCGCGCACCGCCAATTGAAGTTGTTGCCCCGCAAATCCCACAACTGCTGTCCCCTCCCCACCCTCCGTCGCCAACCTGTACAGTGACTCCAGGTGCCCTTCCCGGCCAGGCCATCGGAAGACAGGGTGGTTACCCCATGTCCCCTGCATTTCAAGCTACAGTTTATAAAGCATCGGTTCAGTACGATCTGGTGACAACCAGAGCCCGTGTGGATAGCCGTCATGGGCCTGACAATTTCATGATCCTATGACTTCGGGCATCCAACAAATGTGTGACAGTTTTATGGGCATCGACATGATTGTATGACAACTACCAAAGCACCGCCTCCGACTACTCTCTCTCAGTCACCACGTGCGGACTCGACACAATTTATACACAAATACATTCCTTTTAGCTCACACCCTCCCACTCACCGTGTCCCTTTGGGACATGACTGCGGAACTCGCAAACCACTATGCACTCCATGGTTCTGGAGGCTAGGCAGCAAAGTGGCTTTGCATTTACCTTGAAGCTGCCCCCGAAAAACGTACACACCTCAACTCAAATCAAGGCTGGAAGATTTAGCTTGTCAGGTCGGTGCTTGGCTGCGACCGTGCGGCTGTGCCACCATGCTCCACCTGCTGTTACGGAGCGGTTCAACACGAGAAGGGAGCTCCTCCTCCCTTTCAAACTCTTCCCGCACCTCCCCTGAACCCAGGGGCCTGCCCCGACACGACCCCACCCCCACGCCACCGCGACCTCCCCCCTCCCCCTGCGGCTGACAAACATTTCCCTGGAGAGATCGTGGAGGGCCTAGGGTAGGCTAGCTTGCAGCAGCATTCTGACACCTACCCTCGCCCCCCACCAGTCTGCTGACTCGTCGTGACCATACAGCAACTGTAAAATCAGGCCACCAACCCTAATGCATTCCCTAAGCTCCTAAGCTCGCCGTACGGAAAGTATGTCCGCACCGTCACCCGCGCGCCTCGATTCGCTCCTTACATCGTCCTCTTAGTTACCATCCCTAGCGCTGTTCCAGACGGGTCGCCATCGTGCTGCCAGTGACGTATCCGTTCCAATCTACATCCGTGTAGTTTTCCGTCCGCTAGAGTTTCCATCTGCGGCGCTCTGTCAGCCTAACGTAAACAGAATGGCGTTCGACGGCCGACAAAGAAGTTGACGCGCCGTCAGCGAATTGCCGTTTAGGGTTTCCGCATCCAGTCATCGAACCCTGCTCACCATCTACGCGACTCCTCCGAACCGATTAATCAGGACGAAGCCGTCAACCCTAATAATCTCAGTCAGGCCTCCCGTCGCCCTTCGAGACCCGCCTCTCTCCTCCATTTAATTCATTCGATGGCGTGCCGGCAACAAAGATGGCGACCGTCAGTATCCGTACTCGCTACAGTAGTCGCGCTACTATTACTACTCCAAGCGAGCCGCGTGGAGGCAATACGGAGAGCGGAGCTGCAGCGAGCCATCGGGCAGATCAACCGGCGAGCGGGGTTCGCGACCGTTAAAAAACGTCATCAGCCAATGGCGTGCGTTCCCCTTCCCCATCTCATCTCGCTCCCCGCCCCCGCCCCCGCCCCCTCCCTTCCCCCCCCACCCCCACCGCAGCTCCACACTTCTTCCTTCCTCATCCTCTCCCCTGTACGAGCCCCTTACAACTCTCCCCGTGCTGCGTATTCCGTTGCTTCCCTTACGTCGACCGCACACTCTGGCTCACTCGCTTTTTCCCTCCCGCTCCCCCTCCTCCCCCTCCTCCCCTGCCCACACGCTCCGCCTCTGTTACTGCTCATCCCCCTCTCCCGCCCCGCCCTCCCTCTCCCGCCATCTCTCCCGCCGTCTCTCTCGCCACCTCTCCCCATCTCCCCTCGTGGTCCCGCTTCCCTCCCCCCCCCCCGCCGCTCTCGATGCGGGCCGCTGTCAGCGTCTCGTTTCCCTCGTCGCTCCCTCGCGAGTTTCCCGCCGCTCGTCCGCCCTAGGTCGCGCGGTCGATCCCTCCCATGCACCCCGCTCGCGATTGCCTTCCCCCCGCGTTGCCTCGCTTTCCCCTCCCCTTCCCTCCCCTTCCGTCCCCTTCGCCTACCGTGCTCGTGTCACCTCTCCCCCTGTCCACCCCAGCGCATTTCCTTACCTCCACAACCCAGGCGCCCCCCACCCCTTCCCACCCTCCCCAAGCGCTGGTTTCTCCTGTCTTGAGCCCCGTTTCCGCCCTAAAATGCCAAAAACCTTCAAACAATCCCCACCTGAGATGCCATGCGCTGCGCTCCCTCCTTCCCCTCCTCTCGTCCCACGCTACATCCCCCCATATCACTCTTCCCCCCCATGCTACATCCCCCCCCCATATCACTCTGCCGCCCCGTATCTCTTATGGCTGATCGGTGATCCCCGGATTTTATTCAAGTCTAGGCTACGCTGTACAAGGGCTCCCCCTCATGCTCCTCCAGCGGTGCTCCAATGCCTTCAAGGCTCTTCTGGCCATCCCGTCCTCCTCCCCTCTCTCCCACTTCCCTCACCTCTCCTCCCCACCCTTTCTCCCCCCGCCCCCTCCCCCTTCCCCGCCCCCCCTGCAGTATCCGCGCTCACCTCGCTGTCTGACGTCACCATCCTCCTCCCCTCTCGCCCGAGGTCATCTCCTTCATGTCCACCGCCTTCTCCCCCGCCAAGCGCGATCAAATCCTCGCCTTCCACGTCATCACCAAGCGCTACTCCTACGCCAATCTCACCGCGCTCTGGGGGGGTGCGGAGCTGGAGACCCTTGAGGGCATGCCACTGATCAAACGCGGGCCCAACTTCCAACCGCTGACACTGTTTCAAGGGCGGCAGCTGGTGCCGTCGCTGGTGATCGTGCCGAATATATTTGTCGGGTCTACGTTCACGATCCATGGCATCAGTACAGTGCTAATCCCCCCAGACTTATGACCATAAAGGTTTGTGCAAAAAAGGAGCTTTACCATATACCATAGCTAACACACTAATGGCCTACACAAACGAGTAGCTGTACTATTGCATGAGATTTGTTTGTAGCTCGATTTGAATAGGACTCAACACTTCGTTGGGTTGGGACAACACAGCTTGTGTGAAAGAATAATACCACATCCACCCTTGATGCCATGGAGGAAAGGCACATGTTTGTGTGGGCACGCATGTGGTGTGGAAACAGAGTGGCCCACGGGGCATGCATGCAGCAGACAGCCAGACATTTCAGGTGCGGTGATTGAGGTACTACTGCAGTTGCCTCTTCAGCAATGGAGCATCGTATTTCTCCAGCAACTATACCTAAGAGATCTGCGGAAGAGAATTAAATGGACATTCCTTGAATCAAGCTCACTCTTGTGACGAGGATAATACAACGGATGACTCAGTTTGTTGTGACGAGCCTGACTGACACACCCACCACCAAACCTCAATCGCCGGTATATTCCACCCAGCCAAGCTCTCCCGTCATCGACGCAACTCACCTTGCTCTCTTCCCCGCACCCCGACGTGACCTGACCCACACTTCCATGGTCAATCGCCAGACCGTGAAACGCTCACCACCACACACTGCATTGTAGTCAGGGCGTGTCCAGCGTGTTCTTATACTATTCACTTTGCATATCAGATACGAAATTTCAACCTGGTAACCCGAAATGTCGTGTCCATTCGGACACGCACGAGAAATTGGCAGTTTTGGCGGACACCCTCCAAGTGTGCCCACAGACGTGGGCCGCACATTTCCGAACCGAATGGAGATCAAGCCCAAATTATACACACGGCAGAAACGTCCAGATCCCGGCTGGCGAAAATTTGAACGCTTACAGTCGCCAGGCTTTCGAGAGTCATGCGAAGCACCAGGCGGGGCCTCTTCCGGGGGCGAAATTCGGTTACCCTGCTGTTTTCGCGTGTCAGTCTGTTATGTGCGCGCTGCGCACCCGCTCATTTGTCGAGACACGGGCGGGACACGTGTCCGTGCGTTTTGCTGTTGATACTGTAGGTGTACCTCAACACATTTCCACTTGGCGTTTCAATATTTCGGCATGTTAAAAAAACGTCAAAACTGGTGTTGGGGCAAAATGAACGCGCTGGACACGCCCTCACGATGTGAAACGGGCTCTTTTGCTGACTGTGTATAGTAGTCAGCCCAGGTATGCGGCGGTCTACGCCAGTCATCACCGTGAGTTTAGGATTCGTAGGTGGTGTACAGATGGATTGCAGAAGTCGTTTGTCTGAGGATTAATCTCGATCGAAGTCCTCTGAGAAAAAGCATGCACCTCGTGTCTACTGAGCCCTCTAGTTCCGTTCTAGTGTCTCTCCCCCGTGGTAGTACCTCTCAGTTTTCTGCAAAGGCCAAACTTCCTACCATGCGAGCTCAAGAGGGTTCTGAGGCGGATGAAGAGCCGCCGACCTCGTCGGGGTTCGAGCTGCCTCTCACCAGTCAGCCTTTTCTCAATTGGCAATTAAAGCGTCCGCCATGGTGCTTCGCGATACCGACTCCCGTTACTCATCGCCTTAGCAGTCATTCTCGCCTGCGAGACTCTCTTTTACGGCGGAATTCCCCGTCTCCTTCAGTCGGCCTCATGCGGCTGTTATCGAATTCGTCGGTGACACTCATATCGAGGACCGCGACAGGCGCGTGGCTGGGCGTCCGTCGAGATGAAACGGACGAAGCTAAAACTTCTCGAATTCGTGCGTGGACGTTCTGCGCGGTCACTTCGATACGAAATTCGCTTATGCTCTAAGCGGAAATGACACTGTAGAGGATCCAACGCCGAGAAGTTACAGGCTGTGACGCCAGCCTGTGTTTCGCGATGCAGCAATGGGCTCGATTAGCCGAGAGAACGGGAGTTACAGAGTAACCGCAGCAGCAGCGATCCCGAAGTCCGCTTATTCGGCTCCCGTAGCGAGCTCCTTCTTTCGGGGATACTTCCACGCACATCAGTAGCCGAAAAACACCTGACCTATCTTAACGACCGTTAAAAGCCGACCCGCTACCAGAGGAGGAGGTGGAGCGGCAGCAGTCGGCCGGCGTGGGGCAAATCTGCACGGAGGCGTGGAAGCGGGGCGTGCTGGAGCGGCTGGCGAGCCAGCAAATACGCGCGGCAGATGCTGGCGGACAACCACACGCGCACGGAGAACATCACGGCTGGCGTTGACGCCGTGTGCGCGCGGGTGAAGGAGGTGGAGGAGGACCTGCTAAACAGGAGTGGCAGTGGCAGTGGCAGTGGCAGTGGCAGTGGCAGTGGCAGTGGCAGTGGCAGTGGCAGTGGCGGTGGCAGTGGCAGTGGCAGTGGCAGTGGCGTGGCAGTGGCGGTGGCAGTGGCGGTGGCAGTGGCGGTGGCAGTGGCGGTGGCAGTGGCGGTGGCAGTGGCGGTGGCAGTGGCGGTGGCAGTGGCAGTGGCAGTGCAGTGCGGTGGCAGTGGCGGTGGCAGTGGCGGTGGCAGTGGCGGTGGCAGTGGCGGTGGCAGTGGCGGTGGCAGTGCCACATCATCATGTGGTGACTGGCCTGAGGAGTGCTGGCCCGTGCCTCACATGCCCTTCTCCCTGCTCTCTGTATGCCCCATGCCTCACATGCCCTTCTCCCTGCTCTCTGTATGCCCCATGCCTCACATGCCCTTCTCCCTGCTCTCTGTATGCCCCCATGCCTCACATGCCCTTCTCCCTGCTCTCTGTATGCCCCATGCCTCACATGCCCTTCTCCCTGCTCTCTGTATGCCCCATGCCTCACATGCCCTTCTCCCTGCTCTCTGTATGCCCCATGCCTCACATGCCTTCTCCCTGCTCTCTGTATGCCCCATGCCTCACATGCCCTTCTCCCTGCCTCTGTATGCCCCATGCCTCACATGCCCTTCTCCCTGCTCTCTGTATGCCCCATGCCTCACATGCCCTTCTCCCTGCTCTCTGTATGCCCCATGCCTCACATGCCCTTCTCCCTGCTCTCTGTATGCCCCATGCCTCACATGCCCTTCTCCCTGCTCTCTGTATGCCCCATGCCTCACATGCCCTTCTCCCTGCTCTCTGTATGCCCCATGCCTCACATGCCCTTCTCCCTGCTCTCTGTATGCCCCATGCCTCACATGCCCTTCTCCCTGCTCTCTGTATGCCCCATGCCTCACATGCCCTTCTCCCTGCTCTCTGTATGCCCCATGCCTCACATGCCCTTCTCCCTGCTCTCTGTATGCCCCATGCCTCACATGCCCTTCTCCCTGCTCTCTGTATGCCCCATGCCTCACATGCCCTTCTCCCTGCTCTCTGTATGCCCCATGCCTCACATGCCCTTCTCCCTGCTCTCTGTATGCCCCATGCCTCACATGCCCTTCTCCCTGCTCTCTG